AGTTTTTATAGTGTCTTCATTAGTTTGTTTTTAAATGCTTATGCAAAGTAAGGCAGCAAGGATGATTGGGGGTTGGAAACTAAGCTCTGTGAGGAAAGACTGAAAGAATTGTGCATGTTTAGCCTTGAGAAAAGAAGGTTGAGGAGTGATACAACACTTTCCAAATACATGAATGGCTGTCATATAGAGGAGGGGCAGGACCTGTTCTTGACCATCAGTGCCGGACATGCAATAATGGGCTCAAGTTACAGGAAGCCAGATTTTGGTTGAATATCCGGGAAAAACCTACTACATGTTAAAGCAATATGGCAATGCAACTGATTACCTCAAGAGGTGGTGAGTATTCAAACACTGGAAACATTTAGAGAAAATTAGACAACCACCTCGCAGATATCCTTTGATTTTTATTCCTACATCAAGGGAGTTGGACTTGATGACATTATAGGCCCCTTCCAACTTCACTGTTCTGATTCTATGCATGCTGCTTTTCTCCTAAGAAAGATCCAAGGCAGCAATGTATCTGTTAGTATGTAATGACAATGCATTTAGCCATTGTTTGAATATTTAATCAGTAGAGAAGTCAACAAGAGAGACAATACAAGATTTCCAAACAATCCAAAATAGTTTCTAATGGTTGTTGTGGGTTTTTCAGGCTCTTTGACCATGTTCTGAAGGTTGTTCTTCCTGACGTTTCACCAGTCTCTGTGGCCGGCATCTTCACCTGTGCTCTGGTGTAGCTGGCTTGGGAGTGCTGTCCTCTGAAGATGCCGGCCACAGAGACTGGCGAAACGTCAGGAAGAACAACCTACAGAACACGGCCAAAGAGCCCGAAAAACCCACAACAACCATTAGATCCCAGCCGTGAAAGCCTTCGCGAATACAAAATAGTTTCCTTTATCGGTTCTTGCCATGGCATCACACTAAAAACTTAAAGGAAAAGAGATGGTTATCTTGATGGTTTGATGCAGAGCTCAGTGATGCCAATTAAAAAGCATTATTTCACCTCAGTGAATATAGCCATTCTTATCTGAAAATGTCAGCTGGCTGATAGCATTGTGAGAGCTTCATGTCCAGCTTCTCATGCAATGTGTCACTGAACTCCCATCTGATACACTGATTCCTGATGGCTGTGAAAGGCGTTTTATTTTTCTTGTTTTATCTAAATGTAAGCATATGATAAGAAAGCTCTAGGATTTTACCAAGAATAGCCTACTATCCAGAGGTGGTGCTCCATCAGGGCCTGAATCAATCTTATATTTGCTGCTTAGAGATGAGTGGAAACTCTGTTTTGAACTTCCCAGTATTCACAGTATTCACAGATGTAGAAGGGATTGAAAAGAAACAAACCTACAAAACAGTGTGAATAGGGGAGGAAAAAAACTGGACAGATTGTTGCCTGCAATCAACAACTAATATAGTATTTTGCAACCTTCCTGGAAATGCACAATCTTTTGTTACAACTGTTCACTGAACCCCAACACAGTCCATGCCCAAACAAGAGTACACTGGGATTGGTATCTGAACCACCCTTATCCCCTTTGGAAGAGATTCCTATCTGATTCTGGTTCACGCTAGTGACAATGTTTGTGCATATCTGGATCTCCAGGAAACCATTCATCCTTGCAAAAAGGGCAAGGTCAGGTCATAGACTGAACTAATTGTGCATCTCCACCAGGCCCCAGCATTTTGGGAGTACCTGAAGTGCAGGCAGGTCAGAAAGACTCTTGGACAAAGCAGTGGGGATCTGCAAAGCTAGATGCTGTGTTTGACCTTTACACTTCTTTTTCTTCAATGGTCAGGAAGAAAGTATGATCTCACGAGTGAGCATAATGGCTTCCTGGGGAAGCCACAGGGAAAGGAGTAAAAGAGAGACTTAAAAGGGAAATAGGTACAGTCCTCTTTGACTCATTCTTAAAAGGGCAATGTGAGAAACCTACTTTTCTTTTACAGCACTTGGAATTTGACCTCATTCTGTTTCCTTTCTTAGCTCGTTTTCCACGTCATCAGTCCAGCAAGTGCATTTATTCAAGAGAATAGATACTACTTTCAGCAGTATCTGTGCAGTTTTTGTCCTTCCTGAACATGAAGGCACTAGGGGTGACCAGCGGCTACTTGCTCTGCCCTGTGGTCATCCTGGAAACACAAATGCCCTGATTCACATTGTTTACACATTTGATGCACATATCCCTACTTATTGTTTGCACATTTAGCTTGTATGTTTAGGTAGGCGGGAAAATCATACAAAAACTACCTCAAACTGTACTGTAAACTTCAAGCTGTAGCATTTAGCAAGGATTAATTATAAAACCAGGGATTTTGCATTGATGATAGGGCTGGGTGTCGAAGAGGTAACAAAATCTTGTCAAAAGTAACAAATTCTTATTTTAACAGAATCTAGGCCTGCAACCATAAACATGTTTTATAAAATGTCTCCTCCATAAACAGTGGTAGGTTGTATAGGACTTGGAAAATATATCACATACGCAGTGAAGCACTGACTATTTGTATGATAACCAGAGTTCCTCTCTCTCTCTCTCTCTCTCTCTCTCTCTCTCTCTCTCTCTCTCTCTCACACACACACACACACACACACACACACACACACACACACTTTTGAACAATTTTCTGTGAATGTAGATGCATTAACATTCAAGTGGTGATAGTACAATTTTTCAAGTTGGGTTTAAGCAGACCAGCCATGCAGAAAGCAACCTCCTGATTCTGATGGGGTAATAAATAGGAGGGAAGATGCCATCCTGCTGAGCAAATCCCCAAGAGTCACTTTTTTCCTACTGACACCTGATCACCTCAAAAACTAAGCACAGGTGTGAGAATTCTCCTGTGTTTGACAGTTGGTTGAACACAGTCTGTGATAATTAACTCCAAATCAGTGTTTCTGGCTCCACTCAAAACATAGTTTGCTCTCGGACTTTGCAAATTTATTCTTTTTTTCCCCCTTCAAAAATGTGTTTGGATTTTGTTTTCACCACCTGAATCTACTCTCCTGTCCTTTTAGAATTCCAATCATATTGGAAAGAAAAAGTGTTAGCAGGACCCTCTAAATATGATTTTTTTTTTTTTAAAGGGGGAAATGTTTGTTTCATGTTTTATCTTGTGGGCTGAGTTGGAGCAATAACCTTGCTAAGATTTTGGGAAGAATTTTCTCACCATAAATAATAAGTATATTTCAGTAAACAGAGAATAGAATTGTGTATACTTAGCCTGTCATCAAGAACCATAAATCCCCATATGAATAATCTTGGCTGCTAAGATCTTCAGGGATGGACCTTCCTCTTAGTCCCACTGCCTTCTCAGGCATCTATGGTGAAAATGCGAGACAGGGCCTTCTCTGAGGCTGTTCCATGTTGTGAAGTGCCCTCCCTCAGGAGTCTACATTGTACCTCTCCTTAACCTTCAGGCAACATGTAAAGATGTTTTTTTTTAAAACAAGTGTTTTTTAACATTAGGCATTTAAGATGGAGTCTCCCTCCAATCTTAGGTAATTCTTTAGGTGTGGTTTTCAAGAGTTTAAAAATGTGCTAACATGATGGTTTTTGTACTATTCTATATGTAATTGTTTTTTTTTATTTGATAATTTATTGTGGTTCTATATTCTGTTTATATTATAATTACTGTATTGTGAGCTGCCTTGGGAGAAATCTGTCATAGAAATGTAACAAATCAATCAATCAATCATTTGCACATGCCATGTTTTCCCTTGTCAGAAATATTATGAAATGTGTTACCATCACATTTCATCCTAGGTTCAAATTATACATTACAGATATAATATCATTAGAAGTTCAAATCCCATTAGATAGCAGGATGGCACTGCTCCATAATGAAAAAGGAGGGTGTATTTGCCTTAAATTTGCATATGTTAAGGTAAAGCTGTATATGCAACTGTTTATCATTACAGTTAGACATAATTCCTATAAAATAACCTATATTAGGTGTTGAAGAGCATAATTCTAGCAGAGTTATCCCACTTATAGTTTGTTTTACCTCTCAATAATCAGTGAAACAATAAACTTATTTTCAAAGTGCAGCAGTGTGTAAGGCTTGTGCTGTGACAATCAGATGTCATCAGCACTCAGCAGAATTCCATGTTCCAATGCCTTGCTGTCTGTAGTATTTAATTTGCCCCTTGTTAGCTGCTGCTGACAAAGACAGGAAACAAGAAACACCACAAAGGAAATTTTTGTTATGCATTCTTTAAGGAAAAAAGATAATTTGATGCCTAGTTTACTTTTGTTGGTTTTTCTATCTGTCGTGTGTGTGTGAGAGAGAGGGGGGGAAATGAGGGAGGAAGGGAGGCAGGCATAAATCTGTGTGTGTGAGAGAGAGAGGGGGGGGGAAATGAGGGAGGGAGGGAGGCAGGCATAAATTTACTCAGAGTGCCTGTGGGAATTATTTATTTGAATGTGGAAAATCACATGGAAAGCTTTGAGTATCAGAAAACATCTTAGCCTTCCTTGTGGGAGAGATTTTAAGGTGGACTTTTTAAAAAAGAATAAGCAGTTTATTCATGTATTTTAAAAATTAAACATATGTGAATTTCCATCAAACTCAAGATTTTAGATTAGAGATCTAAAATCTAAAATCTTGTGTTTGATGGAAATCAGACCCAAGAATTTACAAGTTTATTGTAGGTTATGAAGGCACATTAAAAGGAAACACAACACAATTAGATCACATATTATAGATTTATTCTGCCTCTGAAGTGTCTGACATTGACCAAAGAAAGATGGAGACTAGTGGTGTAAACAGATTATTAATCAATTCAGATGTGCCTGATCTATGTCTGATCCAATGAGCGTTGAGAGACGGAGATAACTATTCAGGTGGATTATGTTCCATTTGCTGTAATCAACAGCAGTCATGAATAATGCCCAATTATTACAGATAGTTTGCTGGATTTCTAGCCCTCTTAGTGCTCAGAATATTATCCTCTTAATAACTTGTTTGTGTTGTGTGTTCTTTCTCCCCCTTTTCTTCAGAATTTTCATCCTAGAGGATGGCAGCCTGAAGATCTCTAACGTGACCAAAACAGATGCAGGTGTCTACATTTGCGTAGCAATGAATCAATTTGGAGTTGCTAGGAACTCAGGCAATCTTATTGTGAAAGGTATTTTATTGTTTTCATTTGGTGCTTTATGCATACTGAAGATGCACATGCATATTTGATTAACAGTGCTCAGTTGTCAGGAAATATAATTGGGTTGTCTTGAGGCACTCTTTGAACCAAACCTTCTTACTGCAACAGGGCTGCTGTGATGCCTTTGGCAGCCAAGAGGGTGCCTGGCCAAGCTGCGGGTGGTACCTCTGCCCTGATAGCATTCTTAGAAGGTGATACTGGCAACAAAACCAGTTCCAAATAGAATCCAGTCTAGATATCAATACGTTTAGAACAGGTCACTGTTCATTAAAAGAGATATAACAGAAATCATGTCATTTTTCAGAAATGAAAAAAATACATGCTTTGCAATGTGGCCCATATAGGGTGGGAGGGATAGTCCACTCCCTTCCCATCTTCTCCAGAATTTGAAATGAGGCAGAGCCACACCCAGGACCCTCAGATACCTTTTTTGTATTGGCCCATATAGGGTGGGAGGGATAGTCCACCCCCTTCCCATCTTCTCCAGAATTTGAAGTGAGGCAGGGCCCTCAGATACCTTTTTTGTATGTACTCTGGGGATGTAAATCCTTGTTCATCTTTTCTTCACACACAAGTTTATTTCCTCTCATTCCACGCAAAAAGTGTGAGTGATCTTCTGGCATTTTCAGCAAGCGAACAGAACATGATCAAGTAAACTAATCTAAAAACAATATTTTTTGTACAAAGTAAGCAAAATGAGAAAATATTTGTTGCTCTGTTGCATAGACCAGAGATCGTCAACCACCGGTCCGCAGCCCAGTGCTAGTCCATGGCCTGAGCCAGACCGGGCTGCGAAGACAAATGTCCCCCCGCATGTACTCACCTCCCCACAGCTGCTTTGTGCACACACACACGTGCCAGCGCCGGCATGAGTGCTCCCCCACCCCTTCACGTACGCGCCCGAGCGCCGGCGCAAAGGGGTGGGTGGGTGGACAGGCACTCCTGCACATGTGCTAAGGGGTGGGAAAGCACTCAAGCTGTTGCTGGTGGGCGGGCGCTCCCCCACTGCTTCATGCATGTATCTAAGAGCAAGCATGCATGTGCCCAAGAGTGCACATGGGCAGGGGAGTGCCACACCTTCCTCAGAGGCTCAGCTGGTCCGCGGTCCCAAAAAGGTTGGGGACCACTGGCATAGACTAATTGGTGAGGTGGTGCACTTCTTAAACAGTCAATTCTACACTTGCTGAGCATGTGCATTGAAGCGATGAAGCTCTTTGCTGAGTTTGTTCTTGCAAGCAAATTTTAACTGTTTAATTTTCTGGGTGAGAGGCTTTTGTGCATTTTTTGCATTTTGGTGTTCTTGTGAAAAATTCAGAGATTTTGTGTGTGCAAAGAAACCCGTTTATTTCCCACATTGTGTGTTATACAAATAACTTAGTTTTCTATTTCTTCAACTGATGACAAGAAAGTACTGGTGTTTCTGTGATCATATAGGAATGGAAAAAATCACAGTAGTTGCCATTTTTGTGACAAGATGCTCTGATGTGTTGAGACAAGTTATTTTTAATCAGAATGAAAACTCTTGCAAAGATTTATTACATCCTTAATGCTTTGCTCCTGAAAGAGAAATGACACAAGTTTTGTGTAGAGACAATTTGCACAAATCACAAAGACCCTGACAGGAAGAAAATAGCACTTCTTGTCACTCTCTTGTACCTGGAACTGAGGAGCTTCAAAATACCAGATCAATGTACTTTGTCAAGTTGAAACAATCCAAATGGATGAGAATGCAGAATTTAGCATTCCAAAGACAAGAGTATATATGATATCTTTATTAGACCACTACAAAATTACAAACAGAAACAAGCTAGCTTTCAGTCCATACAGAGCTTCACCATTCTGGGCACCACAGAGTTGTGCCTGGTGCAGAAAACATAAAGGCTCAAAAAACAAGGACCACATGGCTTCTTTGCTTAAAGTGAGTTTCCAATGGGGACAGCAGCCTCAAGTACAAGCTGTAGGTCTCAGATTTCACTTCTGGTAGTGTTAACTGTTATGCCTCCCACAAGCTTCTTAAACTAAAAAAACAGCCAATTATTTAGCATCCTGTGTCCCTCTTCTCCACTGCCCTATATAGAAACACACCGGTTTTGGTTTCGCTCGGTTTGACTGTGACTTTGGATGGAATTTCACAGAAATGAGGCAAACCTCATAAGAGAATTTGGAATATAATTTAGTCAACTGACTAGGTATAGAATATATCTAGTATTCTTTACTTCTTCAATGTGTTTCATGTACTTGCATGTTTCTGAATTAATTATTTATCCGACAAACCATTTGTTATACAGAGCAACAGTTTGGAAAGATTTAAATTATAGCACAACTGCCTCACATGCCTGGTTTTCAAAGAGACATATATGTTATTCTGTTTCCACACATATAACAAACATGAAAACACTTTCCACTACCAGTACGAATTTCTTTTACAAATACAGTTTGCCTTGACATGATAAACCAGGTCAGTGGGGAATGTTAAAGGCCTAGGTGACTCCTTCCTGCCAGGTGAGAATGAGACCACCCTCCCTCCCTTCCTTCCTATTTCTGTTGATTTTTATTCTTTTCAATTGAGGTAGGATTATAAGGAAGAGAATTTAGGGTTAGGGGTGATAGAGAAAGGGTAGAATTTACATTTACATCAACTTGTACAAATATACTGAGAGATTTTTAAAACGCAGCAGATTTTCGCCGTATTACTATAGTTACTAATCTATCTATTCCCTAATTAGACCTTCACATTTTTCTTTAATCTATGCTTTCCAAGCTATCTTTTCAGTCTAATTATAAAATATAATCTTATGATTAGACACAGGAGCTTCATGACACCACAGGTGCCACAGAGGTCCATTCACTCCCCCCAGAACCAGCCCGGTCCACTCACCAGGCTTCGTGCAGCACATGCATCCGTCACCATCATTGTCGTGCCAATGGCTGAAGCCCCTTTGGGCTTCCTCACCTCTCCCCACAGCCAACGTGTCATCCGCCTCCTTGCTGGAGTGGTTGGCTGTGGGGAGAGTTGGGCAAGTGCTGGCCAGGCTACTTCCAATATTGGTGTGACAATGATGATAAAGGACATGCGCTATAAGTGGACTGGACTGGTCCTGGGGGGAGGGGAGGGAATGGCACCATGCTTTGTATTCATATCCCCTGGATATGAATATGAAGCTCCCATATAGATTTATGATTCATCTTCCTTCTATGCAAGGATAAGACAAGAAAGGATTAACATCTATACTAAAGGTAGTTCAGAACTATTTTATTTTATTTATTTATTCAATTTATATCCTGCCTATCTGGTTGATAATGTGAAATTTATTAGTATAGTGCAAATATTCAGAATATTTGGATAGTGTTCTTTGCAGTATCTTTTACTGTGCACATAGAAAGTGTATCCATAGAAGAATTCTATATAATAGCTGTCAATTAATTCCAGCTGTAGGCAAGATTAAATATATCCTGCCATCTTTTTCATGGCTGCTTTTCCTGCAGTTGGTGTGGAATACCTTACATAGCTGCCAGTTAATAGAGATTTTCTTATAGCTAAAGAGATAGAAACATGAGTTTGGGTTTTTAAGGGTTTAGGTTATATCTCCAGTGATAAACCAATGAAGAGGTTATTCAAGTGCCAGCAAACCCAGGTATGGAGGGGCGTCCTTTCACCTGGGTTTTCCAGCAATCTGATCTTGTTTGGCATTATAAAATAATTGCTTTTCTCTACAGATATCTCTGTGTTCTGACATTACATTTAAGAATAAAGGATGAGAAATGGATTTTTAGGACAAATTATTTTAAATGTAATTATCAGCCTTCTGCAAAAAGGTTGACAGTAGATAACATTAACAACCATGGCATTTTTAAGGAAAAATTGAGTGCCAATATAGTTTGTAACAACATAGTGTTTTTGTCCTTCTGCTGATTAGTCTTATTTTTATAATGTCAGAATAATTTTATCTTGCCTGCAGTCATGTTTCTGTAACCCCAATAGTCAAGTGAATTAAATTTCTAAAGGTGCCTATGAAAATAGTGATGGAAAGGGGGAAAAACTACACACAATGCATATTGGAGATGCTTTATAATCTGGCTAGCCATAAATAAAATGCTTCTATATTTAAGCTAAATCCAGTGACAGAGGATCCTATGTATTTTTTTAAAAAAATTCAGAGCCCTCATTTCCTTATTACTGTTCACTACCGATTGTATGTCGCAGCAGTGTTCCTGCAAAAGTTACATTTTGAGAATGTTAAGTAGGAATTGCCAGCTATTGTTAAAGACAAGACACAAATTTTGCAATGTATGCCTTTTGCCCTCCTTGAGATTATCCTTTGCTTGTTTCTTGCTTTATTTTCTTGTGCAAAGATATGTAGTGTGTGTACACACGACCATACATACACACACTCCAGAACTTCATATGAGAAAATAAATTGGAGGGGAAACAAAAAGAAGGACAGGTCAACCTGTGTGCATCCCAAATTAAGGTTGTATCTTTGTTAACAGACAATGTCTCCAGCATAGCATTACCATAAGATTTAACCTTTTGGCCAGTAAACCGGAAACAATCTCTAGTTTTCCAAAAGTCAAGTGCTTGCTTATTATATTTTAAAATTCATCTATTCAACCATGAGCATTGCTTTCTCGATCTTTCCTATTAATTCCTATTGAATAGCTGGGGCGGGTGGTGGTGGTGGTGCAAAACTCTGTAGCCAGACTTGTAAAAGACTGTTGACCAAACATTACTTTCAACATCTGTTATACTGAGCTCTGCAGTGTGGTCCTCTGGATGTTATTGGATTCATCAGTCATGGACAGCATAACCAATGGTACTGGGAGGTGTAGTACAGCAAAATCTGAAGTACCATATATACTATATCCCTGCCCTGTTAGCAATGTCTTAGCCTTCTGGGACAGTGAAATAACCAGTTATGCATTTGAACATAACCCTGTCGTCCTACCAGAAATGGTTTCTTCTACTTGCTTGCTTGCTTGCTTGCTTGCTTGCTTACTTACTTAACACTCACAACAAAAACACTAAAATTTGACACAAATAACTGCAATATGGCAAGAGTGTTAAAAAAATCAATGGCACCAAACAAATTATCATAAAAAGCAGAACTGGAGGCAAAACATTCAGCTGGAGTGAGATCGAAAAGCTTCCCTGAAAATGTTTTCAATTATTTCCTAAAGAATACAGGAAAGGGGCCAGGTGTAGCTCCTCCAAGAGCTGATTCCATAGTCACGGTGCCACCACAGAGAAGGCCCTTTGGCAGATGACCTTTGGACTTCTCTTGGGGTGGCTATCTGGAACAGCCTGACCTTAGATGATCTGGTGGGTCAGGCAGATTACATTGGAGAAAGACGCTCTGAAAGGTAATGTCCCAAACTGTGAAGGGCTTTATATCTGAGTGTCAAAACCTTGAAATTCATCCAGGACACAACAAATAACTAGTGGAGATGGCTCAGAAATGGAGAGATGCAAACAAATTAGCTCTTACCAACCACCAGTCTGCCTGCTGCATTCTGGACTCGCTGTAGTCTTTGGATCATCCTCCAGGGCAGCCCCATGTAGAGAGCACTGCAGTAGTCAATCCAGGAGAGCGACAGTGCCTGCACCAACATCCTGAGGGACAAGTCCACCATAAATGCTTGAGGTCTGACCTTATAAGGAGTGTACACCAGAAAAACCTGAAAGCCACTTCTGTCATTTTTTACAGATTTAGAAGCAGTCAGACATTTGGCAATGGGACAGCACTGTGTGCCTATGTGTACACGTGTGTTTCTTCTCATTTATCCATCCAGTTTTAAATGCCAGTCCTTCCTTTGTGCACCAAAAGGTGCTTGCTGGATCACAGGTGGCATTGAAAGATCACTAAGTGTGGCACTTTGCACACACCAGGTGTGTCGTGTAATTGTGAAATATGTGACAATTAAATCTCTCTAACATGTAAAGGAAACCCTTAATTTGACAATTGCAAAATTTATTAAAAATCAAAATAACAACATGCTATCATAATAGTATTTGCAAGGAACATTTGTTTTGGTTCCCCCCTGGAGAAGTTTTGGCTGTTCAATTATAGGCCTCATTGCTTCAGTATTATATTCAACTGAAATGTCAGAATTCCGAAAAGCATATCTAATGTGCAAATTAAGTTTATTGCTGCTCATTGAGTTGTTTATTCGTTACGATAGAACTGTTTATTACACCTCAAGTGCACCGAGTGAGTTATCTATTTTTCCTTTCTATTTTCTTTTTTTTAAAAAAAACAGGGTATGCTCCATAATACATGCCTGCCGTTAGTAAGCTAGACAGATAGATAATGGGAAAATGGGAGTTTTTAAGTGGCGTTTAGAAAGATTTCAGAAGGAAACATTAAAGAAAATCGCATAAAGACTACAGTTTGTATCAAGTGAAGCAAACATTTCAGCATCCTTCAAAACAGCTGATGTGATCTGGCTAGACTGATAGACCCAGAGAAACCTAGCATCCGCCTTCTATAAAAGATGTTCTTTGTTTTGCTAAAACTGTTATATTGCACACATTGACTCTGGGTAATGCATGATTAAAGCGCTTAACAAGGCAGAACACTGGACCAAAATGGTACAATAGGTTGTGCTTTCATGTAGAGGGCTATCTAGAGCAGTGGACTCCCTCAAAAGGATAGAAACATTCAGTCAAATTACAGATTGTGCTGCAGATGTTAGTTATTCCCAGCAAGAAATAAGCTCCAGGTAGAAAAGGAGAAAACTACTGTAAGATGTTGTATGCCGTGATTATGAACTTGTATTATGAAATAACTGAAGCCTCTGACAGGCATCCAAATCATTTAACCTAACCGGAGCATTTCAGAAAGAGGTTCCGAACGTAAAATGAGGCAAAGCTTTTGTTGTTTGAAGAGTTAAGATCCCGATGCTTCTTGATGAGTCACTGTTGTGATTCTATTCTTATTAATTAATTTTCTGTCACACAGCCACAAACTATTACACATAAGCTATTTCTGCGTTCCAAATGAACATGATTCCTCCCACATGAAAAAGATCCTTTTTGGATGACAAATCCCAGGATTGTAGGCCAAAAAAGTAACATTTTCAAGCATCCAGTATGACCCCAAGAAACTCTGCAGCAAGACTACAGGTGTATAGAGGTTAGAAGGAAAAGACAAGTGCCCCCTCACTGATGTCCCTTGTTAGATCAGTCAGGCTCGGCACGGATCTTATATTTGGAAGGCTTCCCTACATCTGATTCAAAGTACCGGTATTAGTTTGCTCACATGGCAGTGTGTAGGATCAGGCTATCAAAATAGTAACTTCAGAGAAGAACATGAAGCTTTCTCACCTGTTTCCCAGGGAACATTAGATCTAGAATAAATGTGTACTATATAGTATATATCGAAATTCAGTTCTTCAAAACAAACAATATCCTTTGGTATATGAAAGTTGGATGCTATGGGATCACTAAGCAAGCACAAATCGCAGAAACTGACTCCTTTTTTCATTAGTTCATCACTTCTCACTCAAACATAAAGAAATTGTCAGGGTTGTTTTTCAACAAGTTCTCTAGGTATCTTTTGTTGCAAAATATCAAGTGTTGTGATTAATGGTCCCTCTAATTTTCCGGAGTGCCGTGCTGGAGCAAGGAACAAGGTTCTGGAATTTTCCCTTACGTGTTGCCTCTTTATGAATGGTACTGGGTACAATAGGATATCCTGTAGATCAGTGGTGTCGAACTGTGGCCCTCCAGATGTTCTTGGCCTTCAACTCCCAGAAATCCTGGCCAGCAGAGGTGGTGGTGAAGGCTTCTGGGAGTTGAAGTCCAAGAACATCTGGAGGGACACAGTTTGACACCACTGCTGTAGATCATCTTGAAGGATGTCATGGGTGTTGGCAATATTCAGGCTGCCCTTTGCTATGTAAAGTTTGGCATCCATTTTTCCTGCTGGTAATACAGGAAGAATATTGTGCAACAATATACAGTGGTGCCTCGCACAACGGGTGCCTCACACAACGATGAATTCACACAACGATGCCTTTTTCTGTTAAATTTGCCGCCTTACACAACGATGTTTCCTATGGGGAATTTTCACACAACGATGCCACTTATTTTGGTGTTTTTCTGACACTTCGTTAATTTGTGGTGATTTTTTGTTTTCCCCCTCATTGAAATGCATGGAGTTCAATGAGGGGGAAAACAAAAAATCACCAGAAATTAACTAAGTGTCAGAACAACACCAAAATAAGTTTGCATAGGTTTCAGGAGGTGGGCTAACCATTGCAAGCATTTAAAACGGGCTTCAAACAGTTTAAGGCACTTTTAAATGAGTGAAAAGAGACATCACAAAGAGCTTTAAAAGGGAAACGGAGATCAAAGAGCATTACTTGAAGATCCAAGAAAATAGTTGCTGGGGGATGGCAGAACTGGGATGTGTCTGCAGTCTGTCTGTGCTAAAATATTTTGAAGGACCTTTTTTTAACTTAATGAAATAGTGAAGAAAAGTGTTAGTGCAATACATACAATGGAGAAACACACACACCCTTTAACCTCAAAGAAGAATTAATGTTGTCATGGCTGCTCCACAGAATGTAGACTATAAAGTTATCTTCCAATTTTCAAACCTATGTGCTATAAACATATTGCCTGCAAGTTTTCCAAAATATGTCCCCTTGCCTTTTGAAATAAAATAGAGAGCTGGGAGTTAGCAAAGATTGTCAATGGAAACCAAAGTTGAACCATCCAAATTATGTAAAAGATGGACAGTGAAGAAAGGCCGGGAATGGGATGGGGGAAAGATCAACTCATTTGAAATGTGGTGTTGGAAGGGAGCCTTGCAGATACCAGAGACAACCAGAAAGAAAAATAAGTGGGTGCTCAATCAATTCATGGCTGAACTCTCACTAGAACAAGATGAACAAACTGGGGCTATCATACCTTGCCCATATAAAGGGAACACAGAAATGACCAGAAAAGACAATATTGCTTGGTAAATTGTTGAGAGTGCCAGTAGAAAAAAGGGAAAACAAGATGGGTTGACTAATAAAAGAATCCACAGATGTCAGTTTTCAAGATCTGAGCAAAATTTACGGGAAAAGACAATATCCCTAGGAGGGTGGGGAGTAGGAAGAGAGAATGACCTAACATGAAATGCTGTTGGTTTACAAGATCTGGGCAGAACTGTTAATAACAGAACATTTGAGAGGTCATTAACTCATATAGTCACCACACATCAGAAGTGACTTGAGAGCACATAACATCTTAGGAAAGCTTTTTGTTGTTGTTAATTACCAAGAAATTGTATAGTGACAATATTAATGAAATGGCTTAGGTGATCAGCTGAGACTATGACAGGATATAGACACCAAAGCTATGCTAACATTAAGTAAGACCATCCCAAGCCAGAAAGGAAAAAAACAGTAATTTTAAAGTTCAAATAAGGGAACTTTTAAAATATTTGTTCAGTATTTTTAATAAAGTCTAAAATATATTCACCATTTTATTACTCATTTATTGTCTATTTCTCATGATAAGACATATTGTTGTAGTTTATTTGCATGTATATGGATCCTCATGATCATGTTGATGTTTTTTCCATCAACATACGTTTCCTTTGTCCTTAGCAAAAGGGTACAGGAATCAAAACTATAACTTACTCTTTTACCCCTTCAGCTAAATATAATTTTATCTGACTAAGGAAATATTTTGTTTTATTGCTGGCTTTGGATGAGGGGAATGAGATCTTTAGGTTCTTAGTAATCTTCTCAGAAATAACAGTGATTTTTGTAAATTTCTTATATAATAAATAATATTTTATTTTCTGTCCAATAGAAAGAACTATAATTACCACACCACCATCCAATATGGACGTCACAGTTGGAGAAAGTATAGTCCTGCCTTGCCAAGTATCCAAAGATCCATCCATTGAGGTGGTGTTCTCATGGCTGTTCAATGGAGATCTTATTGACTTTAGCAGAAGAATGACTCATTTTGAAAGAGTGGGAGGGGTGAGTTTCGCAGACTCTATTCATCAGTGATATCACAGGGTTTTAAAAAGAAAAAAGTCCTTCTGAAAAATCTGTTTTTAGCTCACATGAGAATCTCGAAATGTTCCTCTGTTTGCACATGAAGTGAAAAATTATAAAACTAAACCTATGTTGTGTTCTATTTGTAAAATAAATATTTTGGAAGCTTTCTCTGAATCTGCAATTACCAGTTGATAATATCAAAAGAGAGTGTATCAGTTTTTATATGTGTGTTATATTTCTTATGATGGTTTTGGATGCCTAGCAAATTGATCTTTTAAAGAAGTTTGCCAGCTAGGCTGCATCATACTCTAGGGCACTGGTTCTTAACCTTGGGTTACTCAGGAGTTTTGGACTGCAACTCCCAGAAGCCTTCACCACCAACTGTGCTGGCTGGGGTTTCTGGGAGTTGCAGTTCAAAAACATCTGAGTAACAAAGGTTAAGAACCACTGCTCTAGGACATGGACATACAAACAGTAACTGTGATATTGGTTGAAAACTCAGGAAATCCAGTATCTTTTATCGCATGTTTTTTATTCAGGGGTTATTTTCATTCTCCAACGATGCAGCTTAGAAGTTTATGTACACTAAATAAGGATTTGTCTGCTGATTAGAGCATGCTAGATTGGGTTCAATTGAGTTGTTAAAGGTCCAGTGTGCCATTGGGTGCAGTCTTGAGATACAAATGCCATATGCATCTCAAGAGACCCAGTTTGGTCACTTGAAAGCTCTCAGCTCTACTCCCTTGCCTGCAGCCTTTCCCTGTCCTCTGCACGTCCTCCTCCAGATGCTCATTCATTGTCTTGTGTTCAAACACACACATAGGTAGAGTCAGTACCAGTGCTAAGAATCATAGCTAGATTCTATTAATTTCTCAGCATGGGCAGCTTGAAACTGCTTAGACTGAATAGCATTTGCTGTTTTGTCCCCACGACACTACCCTTACCAGTTCTCTCATTCCCCTGGAAGTTGTGCTGTCTGGCTGCCAGAATAAGTTTGTCAACATCAAATTTCTCCTGCACCCGAGAAATGCTTACCTTCTGTTAACATTTTTGTGAACTGTTGCGAGCTAAGTGCTGCAGGAAAAAGTTCATGTGGGCACACGCACAATCCGTGCATGTTTTCTTGATCTGCGTGAACACCTAGGAGGTTCATAGTTTAGGAGTGTAAGCACAATAAGTTGTAAAGGGAGTGCAAGAGACATTGTGGAAAGGTTTTCAAAGGTAGATTTACCACATCTGGTTGCTTTAAGAAGGCATAGCAAAGGAAAAAAAGAATCTCTGTCCTTGCCCCCTCCTGTCTTTTAACACTTGCAGGAGGAAGGTTTCATTTTTTTAATAAAATGTAAATGATCCACTGCATCAGTGCCACCCTAATTGATTTAAAATTTTCATTTGGAGAAGCAGAGGAAGGAACTGCTTAATATTCCTATTTAATTTCCCAATTTCACCATATCATTAAGTGGTTATGAGGTCTGTTTAAGCCACTAATGATGTGGTGATATTGGAACCAGCTAGGAAATTAAAACAGGAAGCTCAATTTGACCCCAGCAATTGCATGTCCTGGAAAGGAAGCAAAAGGGAGTGATCTTACATGCACCAAAGAAGTAGTCACATGCATGTGACCCATGTGACCTATTCAAACTCAGATCAAGTCAAGGGGCTTCTGCACATGACTAATAACAACTTTCTGTATATTCCTAAGGACCCAGAAAGGTGTGGATAGGAATGCCCTGGGGGCAGGCAGGCTCTCTTTAGCTAAGACATTGTCTCATTGCTGACAGAAAGAGTGAATCAGCCCATCCCTGTGACGTACCCAAACAGCAGGACAAACATTCATTTGATCTCACTCAATTTTTAACAAAACATGAGTAACATTTGAATGAATAGGCTAAACTATACTAAACTGGGGTATTTGTCTGATTCAATGGTGGAATGGAATAGAGTGAGCTGGCTTATTACCCTTTCTGAGTCAAAGCACAAACCTAATTTTGGAGGTGACTGGACTTGGAAATCTAGGAAGGTCTGTCTCCCAATAGAACACGCTACAGTACTTGAACAGTTGCTATGTCCCTGAAATTAATAGTGTTGCAGAGACACATCCGCCCCAGTCGTGGTCAATGCAATTTCTCCATTCACAGGACTGTTTGATAGAGACTCACAAATGGATACATTGGTGCAGTTTGTCTTGTTTTTAAAGATAACAATGTCTATCAGATTCATCACAGGATGGAGGAGAAGTGGAGTTGCTAAAATTGAGCAGTAGCATGCTGATGGACATGCAACTAACTAACTAGCCCAATACAAACCTAGGAAAAACGAAAACGGTGAGGGCAAGTTAGCTGAACATGGGTGTGTTGGCCTGTTCAGGAACCTGTATGTTTGCTTTCTCTCTTCCTTTGTGCATGTGACCCATGTGACCTATTCAAACTCAGATCAAGTCAAGGGGCTTCTGCACATGACTAATAACAACTTTCTGTATATTCCTAAATAAGAAGGCACAAAATATCCAGCCTCCAATTGTTTGTAGTCCTCAAAAGTGATACTGAACCTAGCAATCTCAGAGTTCTTCCCTGAAGGTGAGGAAGCCCAAATTACATTCTCCACTTAAATCTCAGCTAAGGATGTAACCATCCCTGATTTGAATTACATTTTTCAGAATTCCACTGGCACTCCATATTGTATCGTTTCTTCTTGAATGGAAATTCTGCTGTATTTTGACAGATGTTTTTCCTAAAGCATGCACTTTCCAAAATCTTTTCATTTTAGACATGTTCCTATTGCCTCAAGCATCTTTACAGGTCTCATTCAGATGGATATATATTTAGTAATGCACATATTTCAAATGTAGAAATTGTTTTGTGCACATCTTCCTCTTTGCCAAAATGCAGCACAAAACTAAGAAATGTATCGACTTCCAGGATATCATGTTTCACCTTGTGTTTTGTTTTGTTTTTAGTCTAAGGAGATGTGGAACAGGTATTTATAGAAATATGGGGGGAAAACAATTATTGTCCATCTCTACTTCCATCCACTTCTGGCACTGTAGAAATTCCATGAAAACAAGATTACTGTGATATACCCTATATTTAGGGTCAATATAGGGGTGATTGGGACACCAGTATTCATCCTACATATTTGCTTTGACCTGACTTCTGTATGAGGTCTAGAAGCCATGAGTTTAAGCCCCCATATATCTTTCCCTACCAGAGGCATTCGTTGTTATAGTTTCATCCTTTTTTGTTTCTATTTTGTTATATGTAAAATTCTCTAATAAAAAGATCCAAATGAAAGAAATAAATGACAGTAATAGATAATTTTATTTAAAACTGCTTTTTAAATAATACTGAGCAAGTCACCAAATATCCATTCTAGAAAATACATTATGTGTGATTAAAGCTATATTTCTCTTTTAATCTTAAGGAATCTGTTGGGGACCTTATGATAAGAAACATTCAGATAAATCATTCTGGGAAGTACACATGCATAGTGCAAACCGCTATGGATACCCTATCTGAAACAGCCGAAATAATTGTGCGAGGTAGGTCTATTATTTGTAAAATGCCATCTAAAGCTTATGATATATAGGGACGTGATGGCGCTGCGGGCTAAGCCGCAGAAGCCTGTGCTGCAGGGTCAGAAGACCAGCAGTCGTAAGATCGAATCCACACAACAGAGTGAGCTCCCATCGCTTGTCCCAGCTCCCGCCAACCTAGCAGTTCGAAAGCATGCAAATGCAAGTAGATCAATAGGGACCATCTTGGTGGGAAGGTAACACCGTTCCATGTCTAAGTCGCACTGGCCATGTGACCACAGAAGATTGTCTTCAGACAAAACACTGGCTGTATGGCTTGGAAACGGGGATGAACACTGCCCCTACAGTCAAACATGACTGGACAAAAATTGTCAAGGGGAACCTTTACCTTTATCTTTAAAGCTTATGATGCATTTAAGCATCAGATAACTTGGATGAAATGCAAATAACTCACGATCTACAGCTGATATATATTTCCTACTCTTAGTCTACTTTATATATTTATTTTAAATATTTTATTCCATCTTTCTTTACACGAAAACATGCCTAGTGAGTAATTAACCGGTTCGGATGGAAGCACCACCAGGCATGATTTCTTCCTAACAGTGTTTAGAATTTTATCTAAAAATGATGAGGAAAAAAATACTGTTTTGTTCTACAACTCTCCTAATCCCACCAAATGTAGTTTTTCTAGCTTTCCATGCAAAACCAAAACCAAAAATGTTGTGGCACTTTAAGGACTAATTGTTATATTCCATTGCGGCCTTTTGTTGGTCAGTCCACTTTGTCAGACATGTTGGAGAGATGCTATAGTAGTTACAAGAAGCTGGCAATAGCACTATTGCCACAAGTAATAGACTGCAATAATGTTGGTTCCTTATAGTACCTTAGAAGCAATGGTCAACATCCGATTAATCATCTATTCCATTCTAAAGATTGCAGTGATAGCTGCTTATTAATGCATATAATAAGCTAAAATAACTAATCCATTCAATGTAGTCTGGAACTTGTTTATCATATTTATACGGCCTCTCTTTCCAGCTTTGTTTTACAGTTATATTTTTCTGAAAGAGAAACTTTCAGGTGACAGTACTGAGCATCCTTGGAGGTTGAAATATTCTAAAACAGGTTTCTGTGGATTGTCTTATTCAATGTCCAGTTTACGTCTATTAATTCCTCTTGCATTGGGGTTGCCCCATTTGTCTTATGCAGAGTGCATAAGGGCATTGCTGTAAATGATGGCTGGCATCTCATTGGCATATGTACACAGAAATAATTCTCTGGTGTTGTGGGTAATATTGTAGGGCATGCAATATGTTCCCAGAGTACATGTGGGGACAGAGGTGTCATCCAGTAGCAAGGTCTAATCCCCATCTCTGTATTTGTGTTGTGCAGTCTGTTATGCATCAATAATTCTCAGTTCCATAAGGAAGTACAGGCAAAATACATGTTTACAATATTGTTAGACATGTATCTATCTTGGGAAGGCTTTTCTTTGAAAAGTGACATGCAAATATAGTAACAAAGATTTTAAATATTCACATTTTTGTACCATTTAATGAAGAATTAAATGAGAATTGTAGTGTTTCAGGATTAGAGTAGGAAGAGAGGTTAGCAGAATGAATATACTTGGGACGACCTAATGGAGAAGACTACACAGTCAAGGTTTCCTGTCCCAAACTTGTTATTGTTGTAATGGGTAAGAATATAATGATTAAGGTTTATCATTCCAAATTGCTAGAATGCCATTGGACTAGGACAGTAACTCCCATGAGTAGCAGTGCAAGGAATAAAAAATGAATGAGAGCAGATATGGGAGTGGTGGCATGCAAGTGGTTTTAGAAACATAATTTGTCTTGAATTGTCTATTTGTCCCATAGTGTGGTGAGCCAGAAACTGAATTATGAACCTGACAGTTGGTTCACACATCCTATAAAAAGTCCTAGAGTAGCTGGGATGTGACCTAGCTTATCATGCAATCACCATGTGTTCCAGCAAGCTTGAGAACAATGCTCCAATTTCCATTTTGAAGGAATAGTATAAGATAGAACAGCACTTTGAATTTTGAGTTGATGGGTGTAGGCAGAAGAGAAACACTTGCGTGATTGTCTAGAAAGTATAAACAGAAGATCTTTGTCTAGTATAGTTGCAGTATTTTCTAGAATGCTCCTAAGTAAAAACAGGACAGGTGTCTCTGTCAGATTCTTACACATGCTCTGTCCTGTTCTTATGCCAAGGCAATTGCAAAGTAATATAGACTTGTTCCTTTTTACAAGGTACTCCAGGTCCACCCAAAGATGTTAGTATTGAGCACGTTTCCAGCACAACAGCTGTACTAAACTGGAGACCTGGAATTGAGAACAACAGCCCAATCCAGATATACACTATTCAGACAAGGACTCCTTTTTCAGTTGGATGGCAAGCAGTTTCAACAGGTACAAAGTCAAATTCTTGATTTGTGTGATGTGCTATACTCTAAAAGTGTTCTATCCTTTAATCTTTTTCATCTTATATTTAGTTCCTGAAGTTATTAATGGCAGAACCCATACAGCAACAGTGGTTGACCTAAATCCTTGGGTCGAATATGAATTTCGAGTTGTGGCTGGCAACAGCGTTGGAATTGGAGAGCCCAGTGCACCATCTGAACTACTAAGAACTAAAGCATCTAGTAAGTTACTGGGCCTAAAAGCCCATAAAAAGTGCAATTTTTTTTCACTCTAAAATCAAACACAGAGAACCCCGCCAATGGTGCTCATGATATGGAAGTGGTTTTGAATGTCATTATTTATTATTACATTTTTATCCTGATTTTCAGCTAATAATTGGCTGCTGAATTAGCTTGCATGCTAATTTAATACAAGTAATAATTAGAATCCCATACAAAATCCTGGTGGATTAATGTACCAATCTGCCAATTAGGACTTCTGTTCCATGTAAAATCTAGCCAGTTTTTACATCAGAGCCTCTGTTTCATGTAAAATCTTCCAGGGCTGCAAACAGGAGTTCATTACACGGCAACACCTGTCCACTCATTAAAAAGTACTTTTAGTCTGATTTCTGATCTCTGATTAGAAATAACAGCAGAGGAATGGTGGATAACAAATTACAAGTCACTGTTCATTATGCCTAAAACACAGTGCATTAGCCTTCTTATACATATATTAAAAAGTTAAGTCATTTCCTCTGTTATTAAAAAAAAACTGCACCAAATTAATATAGCTCATTATCTGCAACACATTATTTGCAAATTCTGCTTGACCTCCCTCAGAATGAATTTTATTTCTCCGATAATGCTCTTTATTCTCAGTAAGTTCACAGTTTATACACTACCAGGGCTCAGGACAGATTCCAAAGGCAGATGACACTGATCTCATGGTCTGGTCAAGCCATTGATGGAAAAATTCTGGGAGTTGTATAGAGTTGCATTAGTCTTTTCTACATCTACAATATTGATGCTAGTAGTGGGATGATATATAGACCTAGTGGACATAGAGAGGTTCGAGCCCCCTGGGGCTGGACTGTCCACTCACCCATCCACTGCTGCTGCTGCTCCACGCTCCCTTTCAATTGCTCTGGAGCTCATGGTTAACTAGCCACTTGTCAGCCTCCCTTGTTATGTCCACCTGTGAGGGGGTTTTCGTATACGTATACAAATACCCCCATCTCTATATAACAATCATCATCCGGGCTTGCAAGATGCATTTGAATTCCTCCAAAATTTTTGAGCATCTCCTCTATTCCTTCACCCTGGGTTAAACAACAAGATTCTAAATAGTAACGAGGAATGGCAAAAGGATAGTGTGAGAAACCTGAAACCAGTTAGCTCACTTCAGGCCTTAAGGATTGAGTAGTCAGCTCATGGGGATTTCCTTGCTTGCACTTCTATTCCCCACCCACCAAGAGCTTGGAAATAAAGGGTTAACTTTAACTTGATACATTTAAATTCCTCCCAGATTTTTGAACAGGTCATTATCTCAGCAATTTACCACTTCTGTCCTCAAATAATTTGAGAATGAAGCATTAACTTTGATTTGCTAACTTGTTAAAGTTAATTTGCTATTGTTTTGTTGAACAAGATATAAGCTCAGCAATTTAACACTTTTGCCTTTTATAATTATTTTTTTGTAATCTTAATAAGACAATGTTACACATTGTAAGTATCACTATCTAATAATTTCCACCTAGAAGGCCACAAACTGGGCAATTTCCCCTTCATCGTAGGTTACTTGATATGTTAAGTACTCTGGTTTCTCATGAGGTTTGTGTGGACTTTCTATGCATTCCAATCCAAATTCAAAGATGTCAGAGAGAAGTCAGAATTGAAACACTAGTGTCATGAATGAAAATCTGTGTATTATACTGGCAGTTAATGTCAAGTGTCTTCATACGGATCCATGGAGGGAAAGGATCTGCAACAAATTATTTGCAAATTCTGCTTGACCTCCCTCAGAATGAATTTTATTTCTCTGATAATGCTCTTTATTCTCAATTCTCACATCATTTCACCACCTATTTCGTTCTATAAAAAGAAACACTGTGGAGGTGCAGCACAATAATATAAATGTCTTCTCAGAAGTAAGTTACACTGAGATCAATAGGACTTAATCCTAGATAAATGCATATCAGATTGCAGGCTTCATTTCCAGAAGGCTTGTTTTTCAAGATGATGCAGCAGAGAAATGTGTAGGTTTCCAAGAAAAGTGTTGTCCCTTCATCCAATCCAGTTTTTAGAACCAGAGATTGGGAGTTCAGTCCCCCCCCCATGCATTCCAGAACAGCCAGCCTGTGTGGCCTTGGGCAAGCTGCATAGTCCCAGGGTGCCCCCAGAAGAAGAGAATGGTAAACCACTTCTGAGTAATCTCTGCTTAGAAAAGCCTAGAAAGGGTCACCATAAATCAGAAGTAACTTAACAGCAGACAGTTATTTTATATCTATAATCATATGATTTCTTCCATTCAGCACATGTATCATTATAAATTATGTGTATTTTGTTTAATATTACAAGTGTAAAATGCGGGAGCAGGCTATTGAAATACACGTGACTTCTAGAAAGAAAGCCAAATTTCAGCATATTCATAATTCAAATATGCACATTTTTAGTAATAATTACTATGAAAGCATATATTGTCTATGTTTGATAAAGGGTTGTGTATGTTATAGAGGAACTAAGTCTAAGTACTTCCTTGTTATGGGGAATTTTATACATTGTAAGACAAGCAAGAGACAATAAACTGAACCTTTGGTGCAGAGCTGTATGTGTGCTATAAATCCCCTCATTAGGAGCATTTAATTCTCAGATGCAGAAGATTCAGAAACAGTAATACAGAGTGTGCAGGTTAATATTGATCCAATGAGTCTTGGAGATTTGGATAAACTCTACCCACTTGACTGTTTAAAGGTTCCACAGACAATAGGGAAGCAATTCTGCTGTGCAGCTGGCTGCTAAGATTCTCAGTTGCTAATTAAAATCTGCCTTAGAGCAACAGGTGTAACAAATAAATAGTGATGAAAGGGTGAATGACAAATTCTGTCTTATAAGGTCTACATTGCCAGCTAAAACCCGATCGAGCATTCATACATTCCTGGAGGCAAATGAGCCACTGCTCATTTCATTAAAATGGAGCTGAGAATTAATTGAGCTTCTGCTGATGCAGTTAACCGTAAATTTTCATCTGTTTCTCCACTATGACCCAGTTTAGGCTTTGTTGAGCAGTAGTATAAATTCTTTCCTGTGCAAATACAGTAAACATTGAACTCATTTAACACAAGCACTAATTGAGCATTAACTGGTTCACAGAACAGTGGACCGTTAGTTGAGCTTGGCTTGGAAGTCTCTTTTTAATTTATTTTTTATTTTATATTTTAGTTAACTATCTGATTCTCCTTTTTCTTCTGAAACTTCTGCAATATAACAGTATTCTTCTGCTGTGCTAGCATCAAAAATAAGACCGAGGACTGTGCCATCTAAATACAATTCTATTATGTGAAACCAAGATATTTAGCAGTACAGTGGTGCCCCACTAGACGATGACCTCGCAAAATGACAAATCCGCATGACGATGAGTTTTTGCGATCGCTATAGCACTTCACAAAACAGTGTTCCCTATGGGCAATTTTCGCTGGACGATGTTTGGGTCCATGCTTCGCAGACCATTTTTTGCAAGACTACGATTTTAAGCTGATCACTGCGTCACAAAATGGGTGTTTTGGGGACCGATGCTTCGCAAGACAGCGATTTTAACAGCTGATTGGCACTTCGCAAAATGGCTTCCCTATGGGCCATCTTTGCAGAACAACGATTTTTCCCCATTGGAACACATTAAATGGATTTCAGTGCATTCCAGTGGGGAAACGCTTTTCTCAAGACGATGTTTTCACAAGACAGTGATTTCAATGGAATGAATTAACATCGTCTTGCGGGGCATCACTGTACCTGAGAATACAAAAAATAAGATAATGATTCCTTTGCTATATCATACATTGACAGGTGAGTGGTCAGTAGACCTTCAATAGTTTCTCTCTTGCTTATGGCCAATTTTTTTTAAAAGCCTTTTCTTAAACTTGAGAATTTAACTTTCAATCAATTTCTGTGTCAATGTATTCACGAATACATTGATCTAATAGTTGTTGTGGGTTTTTTCAGGCTCTTTGGCCTTCTACGAACAGTATTCAAGCCCACCACAAAAATACAACAAATGTTACGGTCAGCAAAGGACAGAAGTGACCCCCTAACCACTGCATGAGTATACCGGATACCTTGCAGTTGTGGCCAGGTATATATTGGAACCACAAAACGAAGCATCCACACCAGAATTAAAAAACATGAGAGACACTGCAGACTAAAACAACCAGAAAAATCTGCAGTATCTGAACATGCCCTAAAACAAATTGGACATGAAATTCTATTTCAAAATACTGAAATACAGTGGTGCCTCACATTATGATGTTAATTCGTTCCAGCGAAATTGCTGTAGAATGAAAACATTGTAAAGCGATTTTAAAAAGCCCATAGAAATGCATTAAAACCCGATTAATGCGTTCCTATGGGCTTGAAACTCACCTTCCAGTGAAGATCCTCCATAGCGCAGCTATTTTCGCTGCCCGTGCAGTGAGGAATCCGTCCCAGAAAACAGCGGGCGGCCATTTTTTTACCCGGTGGCCATTTTGAAACCACCAATCAGCTGCTCTAAAATCATCATTTTGCGATAATCGGTTAGCGAAACAGGGAACTGATCATTGCAAAGCGAAAAAAACCCATAGGAAACATATTTTTGCGATCGCAAAAACTTCGTTGTTATGTGATTTTGTCGTAAAACGAAACGCTCATCTTGCAAGGCACCACTGTACTGGACAACACCAGCAGTCATTACGTCAGACTGCACAGGGAAGCCATTGAAATCCACAAGCACCAGCAGAACTTCAACAAAAAAGAGGAAAATGTGAAGCTCAACAAAACTTGGCTCCCAGCTCTCAAAAATACAGCGTGCAAAAGCTCAACGAACTCTAAGGACAGGGGATCACTACACACAAAAGACCACTAATGACACCCATCAACCACAGTGACAGATAATATATTCTCCTTAGCACAACAATACACCCACAACAAGACACATTAATCACCCATCCTCAGAAAAAGACTAAAGCCCATCTCACAGCCATAAATACTCCACTCCCAAGCCAACTACACCAGAGCACAGAGTGCTGTTCTCTGAAGATGCCACAGAGACTGGCGAAACGTTAGGAAGAACAACCTTCAGAACATGGCCTCAGAGTCTGAAAAACCCACAACAACCAATTTCTGTGTCAATTGTAACTTCAAGATCTTTAGAACTCTCTTATTTTATATAGATGGTGTCGGATGCTGGTGGCTCGATAGTTATAACTAGGGCTGTATACAGGTTTCCTAGCTTGATTCAGATCCCAATTCAATCTGAAGCAATCTGAGTCCGATATTTGCACTCCAAATACTATTTGTAAATTCAAATTGTCAGCCTCTCCTTTACTTGTATTGGAAACCCAAAAGAGCTATGCATGTTTTTGCACTGATATATGTGAAATTTTGAAACAACATACAAAAGAGGGGAGGAAGCCTGAAAAATATGGTTAGTAATTTGCACTTCAGATACCTTCAGTTGTAAAGATTCCAGGTGCCTATTCCAGAAAAAAGAGAACGGTGGGATTGAAGCCAGCCACTTTGCCACGAACAGCCAGCCAGTTCCAATATAATGTTGAAGTGGGAAAATAACTGTTTCATAGGATGCTTCACCTGTATGGATGATTAGCATATAGAATATAACTGACTAATAGTACAGGATGTATGAAGAATGGTGTTTGACATCATCAACTGTACTCAAATATTCAGAAATATTATTGGAGTCCTACATTTAGAGGTAGAGAAAAAAGGAGGGCACAGTCTACATGACCAAGAAATGAAAAGGTAATTGACAGAAAGTGAAATTGGGATTGAAAGCATCTTAGTTTATACATGAGGAAAAAAACCAAAACAGAGTACATGGCCTCATCCTCAACTACCAGTCCCTATGTACCTCTGTTAGAACAGAGGCACATAGTTACACCAGAGGCACATAGACCCTTGAACCTTCATGAATGTTCATTTCATCTCTTCAAACCAGGATGCTGTATCATGTCCATATTATCTAAATAATATACTTGTTAGGGCCCTTATCTATGGTTTTTCAGCATGTTCCAACTTCCACAAATACGGGAAGCTTTTACTATACCACGGCATATTGAAAAGTTTTTTTCTCTTCATTGAATTAAGTCTTTCTCATTGCCAGCTCCGATGCTAGAAACTGCTCTGCAGATTTCGAATTATATGCATTCTGTACTGACTTCATATGGCCACACATGCTTAGGAGAATTATATTTGATTATGTTTAGGGAATGTAAAACGTTTTATTAATTGCACAGCATTGTTTGGTGGTTCTTTTTCTTTCTTTCCCAGTTCCCACCGTGGCCCCAGCAAATGTGAGTGGAGGTGGAGGAAGCCGGTCGGAGCTTGTCATCACATGGGAGGTAATTTGTAAGACAATCTTCAGTGTAATGAAGGAAAATTACAAGACAGGTGTAGCAAAAGCAGGTTTGCTGCACCATTGTTACCAATTTAGAGAAGTAAACTGTGAGAGGCCTGTTATAAAAATGTTTAGAAGTCATCTGCAGCCCTCTTATCATCATTATGCAGAAGGCAGCTTAGCATGCTAATCTGTTTGGGTATTTTCCACATTAAATATTCTACACGGTTTTGTTTCCTTGTCTGTGTGTACCCTTCTTGTTTTTTGAATATTATGTTGTTGAGGCGTATGCTGTCATGCCTAAACGAAGACATATCTGTTACTTAACAAATACCATTCAGTGTATGTTTATTTTCTATAAGACAAATAAATAATTTGATAATACCTGCCTGGGGCTGTAAACCCTGAGGACATTTTTGTGTAGTAAGCAACACTGAAAAGTACTTGCATCTTTAGAGGTATTTGAAAAGAATCCCCAGCCAAATTTATAATCACCTTTTCAGTCAGGTTCTGGATCTTCCTTAATATATCCATAGATTACACCCTGAATCAATTTACTTAAAAAAAAACTTTACAATATGAAGTTGCACTCACTGAGAATAAGAATGAGAACATCTAGCCCTTCAGATGTTACTGCACAGTAATTCCCATAAGCCCCAGCCATCATTACCAGTGGTGAGACAAGGTAGATACGGTGTAGCTTTGCATGACCTAGACATTTTTGTCATGGTGAGAAACCAGATGTGAGGATTAAGTTTATCTCCCTTAGGTCCTAATGAAGGTATGTGCCATAGGCCCTCCCTTGAGAGCAAGTCATTTCAAACTGGCAATGGAAGAAGAGATTTGTCTCTATTGTCCCTAGACTGAGTGAAAAATAGCCCCTTTATACACAGAGGAGACATGCTTTTGAATTGTGGTGCTGGAGAAGGCTCTTGAGAGTCCCCCGGACTGCAAGGAGAACAAACCTATCCATTCTAAAGGAAATCAAGCCTGAGTGCTCACTGGAAGGAGAGATCCTGAAGCTGAGGCTCCAATACTTTGGCCATCTGATGAGACGAAAAGACTCCCTGGAAAAGACCTTGATGTCAGGAAAGTGTGAAGGCAGGAGGAGAAGGGGACGACAGAGGATGCGATGGCTGGACAGTGTCACCCAAGCGACGGACATGAATTTGACCAAACTCTGGGAGGCAGTGGAAGACAGGAGGACCTGGCGTGCTCTGGTCCATGGGGTCACAAAGAGTCAAACATGACTAAACAATTAAACAACAACAACACAGAGGAGAGGAGGACAGTCTGGCCATTGCAAAAGAGGTCTGAGGTTTTCCTCCATAAATAGATCACTGTTCCCCCCCCCACATGGACCAAGTGTGCTCTCTTTCCACATGTGTTTGCATGGGGCATGTGTGTGCACATGAATAAGGTATGTATATGAGAGAGAGAATGGGACAAACTTTATCCAGGTATTGCCCTGCCTCCTGATGACATGCAGACCCTTCTGGTAATACCGGAAACAAGAAGTGTTCCCTCCCCTATTTTACAGCTAAAACAATGCTCTGTTGGCAGACTAAATCATAGCCAGTACAACTCAGACCTCACACTGGATGCTAAGTTTTGATTCCGTTCCCTGATAACAGCTGCACAAGGTTGGTTTAGAGCTAGTTTAGAGTAGGATTACATTCCATTCAGAATTGATAGATAGCAATCTTGTGTTCATTATTTGTAGTAGAGGTCAAGGGCATTGCAATTTAAAGAACAGAAAAAGTGAAAAAAAAGTTTAGGGATGTAAAGGAAGCTAACAAACCTGGGAAGGCCAAAGTTGGTCTGTTAACTTTAATGAAAACCAATCAGCCAACTCCCAAAGTTTTCTTAAAAGCTGTTAAGTATTTACAGTAACTATATAGATAAAGAACCGCATGGACTGCCTCAGAATGTAGTAGAGCCTCCTATATAGGAAGTTTATAAAGCAAAGACTGGACAGCCATTTGTCTGACATGCTTTAGTTTTGGATTTCCTTCTTTGACAGCATGTTGAACTAGTAATTCTTGAGGTCTCATTTGGTCAACAATCCTATGAGCACAATTATTTTGTTGGAAAACATGTTGTGCTTCAGATTAGGTGTGAGATATGGCCGCTTTAGTGAAAGGGATGGTGAAAGCTGAACAATGAGAAAATCAGTTCCCATTGAACTGAGAAATTGTGTCTGTTTTTGTCAGAAACATACCCATGATGTCCCACCCTTACAATTTAAACAGAAAGCAGGGCAAATATTACATAGCAGTAGGTTGATAGTGTGAAGTATTATGCCTTTGGGAATCTTGTGGATAATGTGTACAGTAGCCAGAATAGCGCTTTTCAGCCAGGAGTCTGTGGAGCCCTTTGATGCAAATTAAAATTGTCTATATCATACACTATACTGCGCCCACATTGAGTATTTTGTACAACACTCAAAAGGTGGTATTGTGCATCATGGAAGACAAAGAAAGCAGCAACTCCCTAAGGAGAAAACTTACAGTATTTGGGGTGTTTAGCTATAACAAAGGCAAATAATTATAAATGAGACAGAGGTGTAAGAATTGTACATTTTGTAGAGCAAGTAATCAAGGTTATGTTTTTCTCCCTCTCATAATAACAAGAACCCAGGGTCACTCACTGAAGCTTAATGTTGAGAGATTCAGGACAAGAAAGTAGAAGAATTTCTTCACACAGCGCATAATTTACCTATAGAATTCACCATCACCAGATTTAATGACAGCTGCCAATATGGATGGCTTTAAAGTTGATCAATTCATAAAGGATAGAGCTATCAATGGCTACCAGTCAGTTAGTTCTATATCTAGAGATGCATAGATTTGTGTTTTTGGATTACAACTCCCAGCATTCCTCTGGCAGCATATCTCTAGCTAAGCAGCCGTATCTTCTCCAATATCAAAGATGGTCTGCTCTATATATTATTGTTTAGGGAACATGAGATGGAGGGTGCAGCAGCAAGCTTCTCATAGACAACTGACTGACCAACGTGTGAGCAGAATAGGCCTTTTGTCTTATACAGAATTGCTCTTTTCATGACCTTAGTAGTGAACATATGTGGCTTCCCTGAGATAAAAATCCAGAAATCCTATATTCACCTGATGTTCACTCTGTCCGCTTTACCTTCCTTTGACTACACTGTTATTTCTTTCTCTCCATCCAGTACTCCTTCAGTCTGTAGCTGCTTCAGATGGGATTAAAAAAAAAACCTTAGTCATTCCCTTCCATGTTTCTTCTTTTTTACCTCCACTTTCATTCTTTTTCCTCCTCCCTCTCTTATTGGTACTTCTCTCCCTCTATCAAATTCAGCCTTTTCCTCTGCTAAATCTTCCTTTAGGCCTTAAACAGTGCAAAGAGTTTTGTCTACCTCATGTCATAGTTCCCCCAGCATAGACATCCACATTGAATACTATACAGATTATTTATTGTTATGCAAACCAATGTGGTGGTTTATGCAAGGATTAGTCAGCAACCCTCCTCCACTAATTTCCCACTCAAAAGCCCCTGTCATACAAACATACCATCAGGTACTGCTTGCAGACCATATGGACCATTCCAGGTTTAACACCTGCCGCATGTCTAGGGAATGTTAACAGTGAGAGTACAGGTTGCTGTCCTCTGAAGATGCCGGCCACAGAGACTGGCAAAACGTCAGGAAGAACAACCTTCAGAACACGGCCAAAGAGCCCGAAAAACCCAGAACAACCACTACCAACATGAATTTAACCAAACTCCAGGAGGCAGTGGAAGACAGGAGGGCCTGGCGTGCTCTGGTCCATGGGGTCATGAAGAGTCGGACACAACTAAACAACTAAACAACAACAATTTCTACAAGTATTTTGCAGATGTAGTGATGGGAGGAATCCACTGCAAAAAAAAAAGAGTGCAGATCGGCACAGATGTGGTGGTAAACATTTTCCTGTCCTTGCCTTTTCTAAAAAAAAAAAATGCTCACTGAAATGGCCTTCACTGAGTGTTTATTTTTACTCAAATTTTTATACAGCTACAAATATAGTTCTGGCACAAATCCAAGGCATCATTTTAGCTGTGTTCCTTTAACAAACAGCTGCATTATACCAGACTTCCTGAGATAAAATGTCCTTCTGTCAGCATGTGGCAAGGAACATGTGGGATGCATGAGTCCTTTATTCCCATTGACTTGACAGGTGACAGTTGCCTTCTGTGGATCATTCCAGTTAGAAAAGAAACAAAGGGAAATTTTGATTTACTAGAAAGGGGAAAGATAAGAGCTTACAACTTTTCGATAAGAACAGGGACTTTGGGGGTTTCACCAAGTTAGGATAAAAAAAGAGTTTTTCTTTACTGCCCAAAACACTTTTGTATCTGTCTGTTTAAAAGAATAGGGAGCACAGACAAAACAGTGCTTTATATTGAATGGTGGTTAAAAAATACATGCCTGCGATAGAGTGCAACCTCTCTTTTATCATCTTTCTCCTGCTTTTTTCCCCTTCAATACTGGTGCAAAAAAAAGTGTCCTGGAACACACTTAAATCCTCTCCAATGGCAAATTAATTTGTTCTTACTTTCAGAAACTAACTTATAAAAAGACAGCACTGTAATTCATCTTTACTAGGATGGTTTTACTAGCTGTACAGATTAAATCTGAGATTAGAGGAACATCACAGAGAGATTAGATGGTTTAGCAAGTATCAAACACCCAAACACATACATAGAATCATGTATTTTTGACATACAGTGCGACTCCACCTCCCCTCCTGTTCTTTTTGAACAATTTATATCCTTCAATTGCTATATTCTCATCATGGGTGTATTACTACCAAGTTAAAATACATAACCAATTTATTTAATTAATTAATTAAATAAGAAATAAGTTTCAGTCACATTTATTCTGAACTAAAATTTCCCATTCTTGTTTGCTTCCCATACTCCTGGCATTCATATATAGACACTGGAGACTGTGGGATTTGTGGCCTGCTTTCCTTCCTACATTTTAATGAAGATTATTATTGGTCCCCATTAGAGTTGCTTGGTCTATTCCTTCTATTGTGCATAAGCTTTCATCTGTCTTTACCTCAAATGACAGAACTTCCATTCAACCAGTGCCAGTCGTAGCAAGATATGAACTAAGGGGTTGGGACTATGACACACTGAGACATAGAGGAAGCATATGCATGCAAAACATACACTCTAGTCATGCAATTCATCCAAAGCGGAGTGAAACAGGGCTGTGTCCTCACACCAACCCTTTTTGGGATCTTTTTTGCTGTCATGCTGAAGCATGCCTTTGGAACTGCAACAGAAGGTGTCTATCTCTGGACTAGATCAGATGGAAAGCTCTTTAATCTCTCTAGATTGAGAGCAAAGTTCAGGTGAAATGCATGTGGGACTTCATCTTCACCAATGATGCAGCTGTTGTCCACTCTGCTGAAGACCTCCAACAACTCATGAATCGCTTTAGCAAGGCCTGCCAAGATTTTGGACTAACAATCAGCCTGAAGAAAACACAAGTCATGGGCCAGGGTGTGGACTCACCTCCCTCTATTACCATCTCCACACAAGAATTGGAGGTTGTTCATGACTTTGTGTACCTTGGCTCAACCATCTCTGACACCCTCTCTCTAGATGTCGAGCTGGATAAACGCATTGGGAAAGCAGCCACCATGTTCTCTAGACTCACAAAGAGAGTATGGCTCAATAAGAAACTGACAACACATACCAAGATCCAGGTCTATAGAGCCTGTGTCCTACCTTGGCTCAACCATCTCTGACACCCTCTCTCTAGATGCCGAGCTGGATAAACGCATTGGGAAAGCAGCCACCATGTTCTCTAGACTCACAAAGAGAGTATGGCTCAATAAGAAACTGACAACACATACCAAGATCCAGGTCTATAGAGCCTGTGTCCTACCTTGGCTCAACCATCTCTGACACCCTCTCTCTAGATGCCGAGCTGGATAAACGCATTGGGAAAGCAGCCACCATGTTCTCTAGACTCACAAAGAGAGTATGGCTCAATAAGAAACTGACAACACATACCAAGATCCAGGTCTATAGAGCCTGTGTCCTACCTTGGCTCAACCATCTCTGACACCCTCTCTCTAGATGCCGAGCTGGATAAACGCATTGGGAAAGCAGCCACCATGTTCTCTAGACTCACAAAGAGAGTATGGCTCAATAAGAAACTGACAACACATACCAAGATCCAGGTCTATAGAGCCTGTGTCCTACCTTGGCTCAACCATCTCTCTCCATACACAGCACGTTACCATAGGCTTTCAAGACCGAAGGGTGCATAAATAAATAACTATTAAGGCTGAACATCCAAACATCCAAACAAACTCATGGCTTGTTAACTTGATTTTAATTTTCACTTTAATTATGTTAGTGCTATTTTATGTTAACATAATAAAAGTGAAAATCAAAATTTTGATAACAAGCCATGAGTTTGTTTGGATGTTTGGATGTTCAGCCTTAATAGTTAGTTATTTATGCACCCTTCATTCTCGAAAGCCTATGGTAACGTGCTGTGTATAGAGGACTTGGAACAGCATTTAGTGTGGCTGAGGAGGCCAATTCGAGAGTGACAATCTCTTCCGCACTGAAGACGCTTTGTTAGTGTTATTTTATGTTAATAGGGATGTGGTGGCACTGTGGGCTAAACCACAGAAGTCTGTGCTGCAGGGTCAGAAGACCAGCAGTCGTAAGATCGAATCCATGTGACGGAGTGAGCTCCCGTCGCTTGTCCCAGCTCCCGCCAACCTAGCGGTTCGAAAGCATGCAAATGCAAGTAGATCAATAGGGACCACCTCGGTGGGAAGGTAACAGTGTTTCGTGTCCAAGTCCACGGAAGATTGTCTTCGGACAAAAAGCTGGCTCTATGGCTTGGAAACAGGGATGAGCACCGCCCCCTAGAGTCGAACACGACTGGACAACAATTGTCAAGGGGAACCTTTACCTTTACCTATTTTATGTTATTGCCACTGTTGTAAACCACCTAGAATTACCATCGGTCAGGTGGGTGGTATAGAAATAGATAACAACAACAACAACAACAACAACAACAGCAACAGCAACAGCAACAGCAACAGCAACAGCAACAACAAGAGGAACAACAACAGGAACAGGAACAGGAACAACAACAACAGGAACAACAGGAACAACAGGAACAACAACAACAGGAACAGGAACAGGAACAGGAGCAGGAACAGGAACAGGAACAACAACAGAATACAAAGGAAACTTGAAAAAGCCAAGAAGCACAAAAGATTAGCTGCTTATTGATAAAATGATACTGAAGAATGCAAAAAAGATGAAAAGCAAACCTTAACATGGCCTGTATAGACTATAAAAAGGCATTTGACTCATTGCCACACAGCTGGATTAACATCTGTCTAAATGTTGGGGGGATTAGTAAAATCATTCAGAAGTTCCACAAGGAAAACTGTCTTAATGGCCCATGGTGAAGAAATTGGGGGAGTTAGCATCAAAAGAGGAATATTTTAGGGGAATTCCTTGTCACCACTGCTGTTTAATATCTCACTAATCCCCATGTCAATACTTTTAAATAAAACTGGATTGGGCTACCATATTTCAGAACAAGCAGGAAAAAATCAATCATCTGTTATACTTGGATGACCTAAAACTATATACTGTACATAAAGTTCCACGGAGATAGAATCACTGCTAAACACAGTGCAAATATTTAGTGAAGATATCCAAATGGATTTTGGAATTGACAAATGTGCAGCTCTGTCTATATACTGTGGCATCATCCAAAAACTAGATAAAATAGAGTTAAAAATTGCAATATTATAAAATCACTATCAAGGGATGGAAATTATAAATACCTTGGAATACTAGTAGTAGATAACATTGTGCACACAAAAGTTAAAGAACTGATAGAAAGGAAATGCATCAATAAGATTACAGAAAATCTTAAAATCAAAATTAAATGGGGTAAATACAATCAAAGCCAAAAATGCATGGGCAGTCTCAATAATTAGCTGGAATAATAGAACTGAATCAACATGAATTAGAATAACTGAATCAAAAATATGGAAACTAATGAACACGCATCACACACTAAATCCAAAAAGTGATGTAGACAGATTATACATAACATCAAAAATCAGAGGCCATGGATTACTGCAAATACAGCAGGTAGTAGAGGAGGAAAAAATAAGTCTACATGATTATATCAGTAAAAGCAGGGGAAATTACTTAAGGCAATGTAAATAGAGAATATTTTGAAAACCACAGAAACAAAGGCTCGATATAAGAAACAACAATTTGAAAATGAATTAAAGACTTGGAAAAATAAATCATTATATGGACAAAATCTGAGAAATATTAATGGAAAGCATGATAATAATTCAACATGGGCATAACCATTAAGAAATAAACTGAAGGCTTGATCTTTGCTGCACAAGAACAAACACTCCAAACCAATGTGATGAAAGCTAAAATCCAAGGATTTGGAGGTAACAGCAAACGTTGACTCTGCCAAGGAAAAGTACAGATGCTTGCAGATGCTACTGTACATACTTCAGTGGTCCGCATAATCATTGGGATTTTGGGAACAATATCAATAAATTTCACAGCAAACGTTGACTCTGCCAAGAAAAAGTACAGATGCTTGCAGATGCTACTGTACATACTTCAGTGGTCCGCATAATCATTGGGATTTTGGGAACAATATCAATAAATTTAATTCAGTTTTATAAGCAGTTGCAGATCTCAGAAATAATGCCATCAGAGTTACAAAAAACAGCAATATTAGGAACAGCATATATACTGCATCTTTTCTCTCTTCCTTCCTGCCATTACCTGTTCTTTCTCTCTCTCTCTTGTTCCTGACACCCTCTCCACTCCTTTTACTCACTCAGTGCCTGCTGGAAGGACAGATTGCTGTTCTGGAACTCTGAACATGTCATGAGCATGTTGCTTGTCAAATCAGCCTGAGGACCACATGAAATTAGGTTAATGACCATGTGTGGCTCTAGGGCTGCAGGTTCCCCACCCTGTCCTAAGAGGAACTGTCAGAAGAGCTGGGTATGTTTAGCCTGAAGAAGAAAAGCCTGAGAGGAGCTGTCACTTATTTTAAAAAATACCTTGTCATTGCAGAAGTTGTAGAAGTCTTGCTATGCTGTGCCAGAGGGAAGGAGAAGAACCAATAGGTGGACATTGCAGGGAAGCACATTTTAGGTAATTGTTATAGAAAACGTCCTCATACTAAAAGTCATTTGAAAGATGAGCAGGCTGATTTGACAGAGACATCTAAACAGTGACTAGAGAGTAGATATATGCAAAGGTATATCATGTTGCCTGCAGAATTTTGGGAATTGTAGCAAAAAAACACAACTCTATACAACTCTATTAGACATCTCTCAAGCACAGCTGTTTGGATTGGATTGGATGCTGTCTAAGTTCCCTTTCAAGTCTTACACTCTTAACAAAGAACGGTTTAACCTTGTACATTACTGACCATTTGTGTACACAATCCGATGTGACAATAAAAGAAGGGGGATCTTATTGTATGAATCAGATGTAACATAGCCCGAAGATGCAGCCATAAGATGATATAGCAACAATTGTTTTTCTTCTATAATTCTCTGAAACTTAGCAATTCAACACTGTACAGCTGGGGGGTAGGGGTTTCAAACCCGAACCAAGAATGAAATGCTTCTAATTTTAAAAAATGTTGTGTATGCCTTTAATGCTGCTGATTAGGGGTTTTTTGTTTGTTTGTTTCTAAATTGATTGTCTCAATAGATTTATTCTTTACTGTTATTTTCAATGTTACGTTGATTGATGGACCAAACATTATTATCTTCTTGGAAGCACAGTCAACCAAATCAATAGAACTAAAATATACCAATGGAGTGAAGATTCAATTAAAATAGCATATACTGTGCCTTGCAAGTAGTTATTGATTAATTATTATGCTTCTTGCAGTCAGTTCCTGAGGAACTACAAAATGGGGAAGGTTTTGGATACATAATTATGTTCCGGCCCCTTGGCTCGACAAGCTGGACAAAAGCAGTGGCTGCCTCAGTGGAAGCGTCAAAATACATCTATAGAAATGAAAGCATCACACCGTTATTCCCCTTTGAAGTAAAAGTGGGTGTTTTTAATCAAGAAGGAGTAGGCACACTGAGCCCAATCTATATAGTCTACTCTGGAGAAGATGGTGAGCACAGTGATCCATACCTTACAGTTCATCCCATTTTTATTGTTATATCTTATGCTGATAACTGCAGTCTGGAGCAAGACGTGGCTGCCTTTTGGTATTAGCATTACATAATTAGTAACAGTAACACGTTACTGCACAAGTCATGTGTCTAATGCCAGTGTTGTGGCAGCTCATGAGTCAATGTGATGCAACTTAAACGTTTTGTGGCTGCAGTTGTATAAGCCTCTGTTTCCTGTTTTACATTATCTCAGTGCTGTATTCAGGTATGGTCTATCAAAATATGTATTTATAAGTTTCACGGTGCCTTTCTTGTTCTTCTAGAGCCACAGTTAGCACCAACTGGAACATCTGTACAAAGCCTCTCAGCATCTGAACTGGAAGTCTCTTGGAGCCCTGTTGCATGGAACAGACATACTGGAAGAGTTCTGGGCTATGAGGTGGTGCACTTAATGTTGTATTAAACAGAGGCAGACTACCCTCCCTTGTTCAACTCCCTTGTCTTCTAGCTCACTTAATGACAAGTTATGTTTCTCCTTCTTGGACCCCATGTGTTTTAACCCAGTGTCCCCCATCCCTAGGATGGTTCCACTTTTAATTTAACTGCTCCTTCTTCACCTTCAAGTCTTTTCATCCCATCACTGCACCAGATCTCTGCTCTGTAGGGATTTACCTACCCTGCCCTTTTCTTCAAATAATTAATTTCACTAATTCAGTGGCCAGAATCCTTTTCACACATACCTAAATTAAATTGTGTAACTTGCTGGGGTGAATGGCTCCTAACTAGTGAGGCATGAGTTATGTTATGAGGTGTGTGCCTGGCTGTACAATAGCCACGGCCTTGTAGTGAGATCATTGCTTCATTAGGTAATAGCAGTTTACCACCGAGAACTATTCAATTCATCTCTCTCTCACACACACACATTGATTCTCTGGCCAGTCACTGAGAATAAGAATTCCCTCAAAGAAGGACTCACAGGAAATCAGCTTCTGAAACTGATGCATGTAGACTGTGTTAGCAATCCTGGCATACCCTGGCTCCAGAGGCATGGATTTCCATGTTAGTCTGTTGCAGCGAAAGCAATCTATAGACACTTTTATGCCAAATAAAACTTATTAGCCTTTCAGATGCCACAAATACACTTTGTTGTTTTGACTTCTTCTCTGACTGATGTTCCAGTACTTGACCTTGAATTCTGTTCGATGTCAAGCCAGAGTTCAAGCTCATGGGCTACAGGGAACAGCTATAGAGACATGGGAAAAAATCTAAGGCATTGTAGAGTTCAAAGTAGCAGAGCCCTACCCAAGAGCACATAAAGCCAGTAAAGGTGAGCCAAGAACGAGTCCAGGGTCTGAAACCTGTCAAGTTCAAGCAGAAATAAGCCAAGAGTAGTCCACGAGGCCCTACTCCTTGCTCCCCATTGATCCTGAGGTGGCAGAAGAATGCAAATCAGGCTCTGAATTGATTCATGAAATATAAATGTGACAAGGAACATATGAAAAATGATACCAAGACTGCAAGCTGTTAAGACTGCCCTAGACAAAACCAATATCTTGATTTTGGTCCAGAAAGAAACCAGCCTGCAAAATGGGAAAACAAATTATGCTCCAACTGCTTTATTCCACCCATTACCCTGATAGTGCATTTTGGACTAGCTGCAGGTTCCAAAACCTCCTTCTGCACTCTAATGTGAACATAATTAGGTCACAAATGACTGTAGTAGAGTCCTTTTTCATCTATTAAAAGGGGGAAAACAGCACACATAGTCACAAATGCCAGCTGCACAATCAACAGGAGTGCTGCTTCTAGCAGCACACTACAGCCTTCATCTTTCAGGAGAAATATGATCCCATTCAAGACAGTTTGGCTTCTAAACCATCTCCCCACCAACAATACTTCCCCCTTGTTTAGGCTGAGTTTCAGTTCTTCACAGCAAACAGAGACCCAGGGTTTCCCCAGTGCCCCTAAGTTTGTTTTTTAATATTATTATTTAAACATTTAGCAATCACTTTAAAGATATTTAGCAAAAACAAAACATTGAAACAAACTCACTGGATCAAAGCACATTGAAAACAGCTGCTTGCAGAAGAGAGATAGAACGGGATAATTTTCAGCAATATTGATTGTCATTCAGTTTGAATCTCCAGAAGAATTCTCCTGTGTTATTTCATACTGAAAGTTATAGAGGATGATATGGAAACTTGTTGAGGGCAGAGGAACAGCCAAAAGTCCCCAATACTCATCTCTGTAACAGTGTCCAGAAAGATACCATGGGTAACATCAGAAAATGTGAAGAGTTCCATGCAAAACTTCAATCTCTTATTTATCACCTAGAATAACTCAGTATTTTTAAGATTCACAAGGGCAACAAAGACAATCTCATCCAAAAATCCTAGGTGCTGTGCCTGTGCCACATGGTTCCAATAATGGGTGACAGTTTGATACTAGTTTTCCTACCTCCTCAGCATCAGCATGCTGAAAACTCCACCAGCTACATGGGCCTGCACCTGATTTTCTGCAAACAAAAATTCCATGCCTTTTCACTGCATATGTGGCATCTCCAGCAATCATCATTCCATAGTCTCTTAATATATTTAGTTGCATTTGGTCTCGTTTTGTAGGTTTGTCCCCCATATATGTATGCCTTCCTGCCATATGTAGACAATGCCTTTTTGACTGCATAAAGACCAGCACTGGCTTCTAAACTTTGGGAAAAAGAAAGATCCGCAGTGAAATATTGGAATGGAATGGTCCTGCTGCTCAGGGTTATAACTGACCAACCATGTCATCATCTAGGATACTTCATTCTTCCTCTTCCATGGTTTTCCAGTGTTCTCCTATTTATTAGTCAGCATAGTATGCATACTGAGCATTCTCAGTCTCTACTGGTTTGTTTTCTACTCCTTCCATTATCACTTCCATTCACCATCTACAATTGCAGCACTTCATATTTCTCCAAACCTTAGGATTCCATCTCATTTTGTGGGTGGATGATACCATTATGGCTATGTAAGGACTCACATTTGCTGATTGAGTTAGCAATTGGAGCACATGGTATTATAACTCCATGGTCTTCCATGCTAAATATTTGTTACAGCTCAAAGAAAGCTATTGGTCAATAATTATTGAATACTAACTAAATGGACAGAAAACGTAATAATCATTCTCTCTCTAAGAACTTTCTTTTGATCTTTTTCTACCCCCATCCATATCTGAATTATACAGAGAGAAACTTCAAGCATTTCTCACCTTCTCAGCATTTTCCCATTGGATAGCTATGAATGATAGTGATTCCAGATTTGTTTGTCGGTTTTCTGCCCGAATTTGTATTCAGGATACAGTAAACACTATAAATATCCGTTCCTGTCTTTTTATACTGATGGTTTCAATTACAAAGTCATCCGTCCTTCTTGAAGCATCATTTGTTGACTTAGTATCTTTCCAATCAAGTTTGTAATTGATGAAAAGCAACAAATGGTCTTTTTTCTTAATCTTTAGGTCTTATGCTGGACAGATGATTCAAAGGACTCTACAACTGGAAAAGTCAGAGTCTTTGGCAACATCACAGCAAAAAATATCACTAACCTCAGGGCAAATACAATGTATTTTGTCACAGTGAGGGCTTATAACACCGCTGGGACAGGACCATCCAGTGTCCCAGTTAATGCCACCACAAAAAAATCACGTGAGTAGCTTAAAGAGCCCATGACTGAAGAAAATTCAAGAACACATGATTCACTTCAAGCCAGGGCAGCAAACCTTTGTCTAGGACAAGAGCATCAAAAGTTGATGCAAATATCTTATGTTTCCCTTTATTTCAAGAAACCAAAACAACAACAACAAAAACAACAACAGGATGTCAGAGACAACTGCCATTGTGACTGTTTGAAATATCACCTGCCCATGGAATCAAATGCAGCAGGACTAAAAGTCCAGAGCAAGAATGAGAGAAAAGGGTCCTTAGAATTCCAACAGCCTCACTGGCAGACCATGATGCTTCCAATCTGAGGAATGACTGTGGTTGCCAAGACAAAGGGGGCAAGCGACACCCATGGAACATTTCCCTTTTAAGTGAGATAGAGGAAATTGCCTGCCATAGAGGCTGGCAGAATTAAATCTTTAAATGGCCATATGAGAAACTGGGGTGGGCAGAATATGGACCAAGGGGAAAAGGTCATTCCCCCTCAAAAAATAATCTAGGGCTGATGGTTTTGCAACAAAATGGCACGTAGGACTCCCAAAATCTCCCCAAACCCAGTAAAATGAAGCTCAAAAGTAGACCTTACAAAATTCAGACTCTCTCTCTCT